AGGTATAGTAGGGATTGTGAGGCTGGCACAGGACTGGGCAGTGTTTTGTTCTGTTGTACTCAGTGTCACTGAGTTGGAAACAACTCAATGGTACATAACAACAACAACTATCCAATACTGAGATATATTCTTAAATCGTTTTTAAAAGACATGAATCTTGGAAGCCCTCATCGATGAGTATAGTTGAGTAAACATGTTAAGGACTTCATGGTGTGAACCATGCAAGAATTTGAGAGAAAAGTGCTCCAGACAGGGAAGAGCAAGTGAAAACACCCTGAGAGGGGAGTGTGATTACTTTGTAAAGAACAGCAAGAAGCCCATGTAGAGAAAGTGGAGTGAGCAAGTTGGGAGGAGTGTACTTCCTTGGTTCATGAATTTGGGTGCCATGAAAACCTTATGACCCTAGAGGATGAGAGATATGTGGAACAAACCAAACCCAACCCAAAACCTAGAGTCAAGCCCAGCTGACCTCTAGCAATACTCTAGCTGACCAACAGATGCATGAATGAGAAACATGCAACTTATTTGTGCTTGTCACACAGCCATAGCTGACTGGTATACCGTTTTAAAGCATCAAATCAACAATGCACCAATACTTATGGGTTGTCTAATCATCTACTAGGAGCTTTGGAAACCCTATGGGGCAATTCTACTCTGTCCTTCAGGGTCACTATCAGTCAGAACTAACTCGATGGCAGTTTTTTTGGTTTAATTATCTACTGATAGGTAGCTACAGTATGATAAAAACAAAACAAAAACAGTTGCCATCAAGTCAATTCAGATTTATGGGAACCTCATATATGTGACAATGGAACTGTGCTCCATAGGGGTTTCAATGACTGACTTTTTGGAAGTAGATTGCCAGGCAGTTCTGGGTTGACACGAACTACCAACTTTTTGGTTAGCAGCTACATGCATTAACCACTTGTACCACCAAGGGACAGGCAACCCCAAATTGTTCCTGACTCTAACAGCAATACCTGTGACCACAAGGCCTCCTTCCTCTCAATAAATCTTTCATTTAACAAGAAAATACTGATGGAGTCCCCAAGTATTCACACTAGGAATTTGGCCAGCCCTCATCCTTACTTCACTGATTCATTGCCAGTTCAAACAGCATATTGCTAGTGGTAAGGGGACTGCAAACTTAGTTAATGGCAATTCTTTAGCATTAACACTTCAACTTGATCCTACTCCAAGGTGATTCCCATAAGCACACATAAAAATCTTTCTTGTATTATGA